TTTTTTCAAAACGGTAGAATTTATAATCACAGAAAAATAAGTTTTAGGCAAAACTCATACAGACAGAGGAATAACACTCATAAATAGAACAAGAGAGAGGTTTCACTCCCGGCAAAAGAGCGACCACCAAACTCCAACCTAGCCTAGTCGAAGACAACTACACCAATGCACCAAAATTAACTTGTCACTGCACCCTCAAGAGACCGGGACATAGCAAGCAACAAAAATCTAACAAAGAAAATATAGTTTATATTTGGTATGTGAATTTCAAGAAAATGGCTTAAGAAATCAGAAGGAAAATGGAAAAACGAATAAAGTCGAGGCACGTAATATACGCTCTCCTTAAGACGAAATAGCTTCGTATATTATCCACGGTTTATGGCTCACGCCTCCAAGATACAACGACTAATTATTTGTGTATAGTGGTAACTCAAATACACAAACCTTCAGCGAACAATACTTAGGTTTTGAACTCTCAAGATACAAAAGAACACAAAGAACACATGATGAATATGAACTTTGTAAAAATGATGCAAAGACTCTTGGAATAGTTTGATGTTGAATGATTTCGTGTTTGTGGGTATATATAGATGTAGAGAGACACCTCCAAGAGGTTTAAGTGTCAAAAGACACCTTTTGGGACGTGCTCGAACGAGAACAGATGCATCTAGTGGCCAAAAGATACCTTATGATCACCAAAGGGTGCAACCCTTTGATTTCCGCGGCCAGTGCGCGCCCGTGCGTCGTGGGCGAGTACGAGCTCATACGGATTCGGAATCGAGTTCCGATTTTTCCTACTTGTCCTTAACGAGTCTTTCTACAATTCTAGCATACATAATGCAAAATTATGGCTCGTTTAATTTGTCCAAAACAGAATGTTTGTGAACCCTACAACCTTTGAGTTATTTAAACTCAATTAATTAACATATAACACTTATAATTAATTTCTCGTTCACTTTAAAAATATTTTGAGAATTTCCTAAGTCTTCTACTTACGAAAAATAGAATCATTAAATTGTTACAAAACCAATTACTTTTTACAGAAAACAGATTATTCCAATCTACACGTTGTGCAAAAAATAACTTGTCAAAGGCATAAGTCAAGCGGCCAATTGTTTAGTGACACGTAATTGTTCATACTCGTTATTTGGTTGACCAAGATATATATATAATCTTTTAGTCTTCAAGATCGTGCATTTTTGTACACAAAGGTTGCCATCACATTTCCAAGTTGTTTATGCATGTGAAACCAATTTATTTCTTTGGGGTCCCCATTTTAAATTAAATTTCCTTGGTTTCGCCCTTTCTTTTGAATTTTCACCATTTTCTCAGTCTTAAAGAAAGCAATCTTTGAATATCCAAGTAGCCTACAAACATATGCATATGACAAGATTGGACGAGATTGGATTTGAAATTTATTTTTTTTTTTTTTTGCTTGATGTGACAATTAATTATAAGCTCTGATAGGTAAATTCGATCCTACCCTAGGGGCACTGCAGTCAGTCCTAGGGGCCCTTGATTTACACATAAACACATACACCTACATGGGTGTGTGTGAAATCAAGGGTGGTGGGGGCATGACTGCACTGCCCCCACCTGTAGGATCGAATTTTCCGCTCTGATATATGAAAAATGAAATATTTTTAAAATTTTAAATAATTTTTGCCTTGCCTTATGTTAGAAAGTAGGGAATTTTGTTATATAAAATGGTTAATTAATACTACCTCTTATTTCTAATATATGTCGTTTTGAGAAGTTGCACATTAATTAAGAATATTTTTTTTGTCAATAATAACTTTATTTAATGAAGATAGAGATGAATGTTTTGATAAAAAGTGAATATGAAAAGACGTAATATAATTATTAGCTAAATGAGGGTAATAATGAAAAAACATGTACAAAAGATCAAAAACGATATTTATTTAGTTAATAGTTGATAAAACTAGAATGACATTTAAAAAAAAAAAAAAA